AATGATGGTTTTTAGCACGATCAGTTGCATAATTAATTCGATCATAAGTCGTGCTTCAAAGGCTTAATTCTAGAAATCCATTACTATATATAATTTGCTTGAAAATATATCGCTACCATAAATTATGCCATCATCATCTCAAAGAAATGGGTATATGTTTATGTCACAAACCAGCTTCGTGACAAGGATAACGTAAAACTAATCTCTAAATTACTATAGTCTCCGGGATTCAGTATCCCTACTCACAAGAATTTAGACGCCTTTGATTCTACGTTAAACTCAACTAGACAATTTAGAACTACTTTATTCAACTGTCTGGCGGGCTTATATACCCTTCTACAGCAGCTAACATTCACGAGTTATCTTATAAAAATACTTGGTGAGAACATCTACCTAACTAATTTTTCACAGTTGGACTACAATATGTCCATTCACAGAATCATTTCAGTGCACATTACAGCACAGCATTAAATTTACTGAAACACATTTATAATTAGAGTAATTCCTATTGTAAGTAACTAGTTGTAATATAATATCATTATATTATATTAACCAAATTTAGACATCTATTCCTTCACGGTAGTTCGTACCGTGACAGTTTAGTAGCTTAAAACTTAACTGTCAATGGCAACTTGTCTAATGTTCAGGAACGAAGAACTATCTCTGAAATTTACTAATGCATTCTAATGCAAGATACATATCTATAATTATCAAGATCTATGCTACTTTAACAAATAAATAAGTTGCTTATTCCAATTTTCATTTTTACAATGAAATTTAGTTATCTGAAAAGTTCATATAATCGGTAAATTATCATTTTTATAAAGAAAATTAAGAAGAAATGAAAGGGCAATTAATGAACGTTACGATTATTAATCCTATCTCATGCAGAAATATTTTAAAATATCACCATTGTTCTAATTTTTGATCTGCATATAAAGATTTCTACAATTTCAATATTTAATTCATGTAGTTAAATAGCAATCTTAGACATTAAGTAGACTCTATAAGGGTAATTACTATCAAATATCTTCTTAATTGGTAATTTAATAAATCCAATAAATAAGATATAACATGAATTGTTTTTATACGATGGTCATTAAATATTGCTTTTAGATCGCTATATTGTTAATATACAGATTTATTTGGGTAATCAATTAACTTAATTACAGGGTATATTAACGACAGTTTAATCCGCTAAAGAATTCGAACAAAAGTACTATGAGTATGTCTGTAAAGATTTTTTGCTATGTGAAAATTTCCATTTAGTTTGGCTAAGTAAATTATTAATAGTTAAATTTGCATAAAATGATTTTAAATCAATCCTTTTCAAAGAGAGTAATTCACGAAACCAATCACATATACTGAAGCATTTACAATTCGAAAGGGTACTTCATGTAATTGATAGCGCCAATTTAGGACAAAGAATACTTTACCAATTTTAAATTAAATAAAGCATGATTTTTATTATAATATTTGAGCTTAAAATTGTTATCAAAATACATCTAGACAAGTATGGATTTCTAATTTTAATATGTAGTGAATTATATTTTTTTATGCTAAAAATTTCCACCCAGAAAATTATCGTAGGACTCCATGATGAAGTCATGATATACATATCTGTTACATGAAAACCCAAAATTTAACGTTATTTTACTATATTACAGATGTGCGAATTTTCTAGGTAATTAGATCCAAGATACAGGCCGTAAATGAAAAGTGTTTTGACATGAAATTTTAAAGATTTAAATTTATCCTCTAATATTTGTTTTGAATGATTTAATAAGATTTGAGTGATGCGCAAGGACATTCGTACGGCTTCATATAATGCCATTTTGTCCCGATAGCGTATTAAATATATATTGCTACGATGCAGTGCTTTGAAATTTTATAAGATGAATTTAAACGTTTATTAAACTTTACTTTATTACAGAAACTGATTCCATTAACCGTGTTACGAAGTGATTTATTCATATATAATCTTATAATCTCAATCTTAAGCTGTTACAACTACATTACAGTAGAATTTAACTTCTGATTACTTAGCCGTCAAATATAATACGTTTTTCTACGCTTGATGCCTTAATGCTTTCACAAAAATTAGATCCAGGATATTTGGTATCTTATATAGCGTCATGTAATGGTAAATGATTTAAACAGTAGCCCATTTGAGCAATCTATTTTTAAATTTCTCATGCGTATTAAAAAGTTATGAATATAACTTAGACTATGATAGCAGAAAATGAAGTTAGTGAGGTATTGCAGAAGGAGAACTTAATAAATATGGTACTGATAACTACAAATTAATTTTGATTTACAATTTTATGGAGTTGATGATCCTTGAGTTTGAGAAGTATATGTGTTAGTGATTTTATTATGACGCGAGATTCTTCTTCTAATACGATTATAAAGAATTGACGATCGACTGCGTATATTTTTATCATACTTTATCAGCAGCAGTGGATTGACAACCGGTGTGCACACAGTAAAGGATACAGCAAATGTGCATAAAATGAACAAGAATAAACTTTCCCTTTCAAGATCATCAATCCCAATTCCAGTAATAGACATTCCCAAAGTCATAGCAAAAAATGGCCAAGTCATTAGGGCAAATACTACAGTAACGATAATTAATGTTCTGATCAATGATTTCCGTTTTGCGTTATCAAGAAAAGTTTTAGTTTTCACTTCGCCAGGTTCTTTTGATGATTCTTCTTTATATCGCTGAAGTAGAAATTGGTATATTTTAAAATATAAGATACTCATAATAGCCAATGGAACAATGTACAGAATTATTGTTATAAGCAAGTAAAAAATTAAACCAATTCTGCCACGATGCATAAGAGCGCAAGAATTTGTCGGTCCTGGTAGAGCACCAGTTAAATAAATGAAGGGCAGCGATGCGGTTATACTGAGTAACCATATGAAAACGATAACAATCTTAAACATCTTTAATTTTTTAGTTCGTGATGCCAATAACATTGGTTTTAAAATTGATAAGTAACGGTCGATGCTGATTGAAGTTAAGCTTAATACTGACGCCATAAAAGATATGCCGGTTACTAAAGATAAAATGCGACAGATAGCATCTACCACTGCATATGGCAAGGAAAATACCGTTACTATTGGTAAGGTCATAAATAGACTAGCAGTTGCTATATCAGATATAACCATGTTGCCAATTAAATAATATGTCGGTGACTTAGACAGTTCTTTACTAAAATAAATGGAATTAAGTATCGCGGAATTCAAAATTATTGAAAGGAAAGATGGTAGGGAAAAAAAGATTTGAGCAATTTGTAAAAACTGAAATGCAGTTGTTCGATTGGTATAATTTTGAGATGAGACATTCGGCAATTGCAACTCAGACATGATGCATAATATTGGTATCGATTTTCGCCTAAAACTAGAAAGTAAGGTTAAGTATTAGGTCAGAAGATGAGAAATAGGTTTTCAATCAATTACCGGGATGTTCAAATAAATGAGTATTTTTTTAATCTACAGCGCACTATATACAACTGATTGTACAGCTTATTTTGATCTTATATCGAAATATTTTGACAGTTTTTAGTTACGTCACAAATTCTATAATTGCTTCGTATTCATGAAAGGATAACAAAGCTTCTATCAACAAATAATTTGTATTTGATCTGTCATGAATAGTTTTAATTAACGGTAGCTTTAAATATTGCCTTAACTTGTCATTCACTTGGCTATCAGTAACAATTATATTCGCTTCGAGGAATCCGGTGTAAATTAATTACGAAAACGTCAATTTTAAATAAGGCTGTTTATGATATCCTACTTTTATTGTTATTTAAGATTACAAAAACTTTCAGAAATCCTGTCCCTTAATGGCGACAGCAAAGACTCATCACCTTCAATATTGCGTGTCTGAATAATGCCATAATTATATTTTGACAGGCCACAATTTCATATTGATTGATGGTTAAACTGTCATGATGTCTGCAAATTTGACTCTTTATGATAAAAATAGAAGCATCTAAAAATATTTGAAAAAGGGTATCCTTAAAAACTATCGACAATTGTCAATTGGTCTTAAATCAAATTTTTAATTCATATTGTAGGTGTATTATAGTAAAGGTCAAAATGTTTTAAAATTCAGTTTATCATTTACCTATACAGATGACATTGCCGAAGGACTAGGTGACAATCACTTCGACCGGGACTACTTTAAAGAAATGAAGTACAACAATAAACAGAATCAATAAAATTGATTATACTCAACTAGACATTGCCGGCAAAAGCGATTCAACTTTTAGTAACACCAATAGTTATCCCACAGATAGGCCGAATATTATGATTCTTTATTTAATGTGATATATGATTAAGGTCGTGACCTGTAAATCTAGTGCCCGTATTAGGGAATGGGCAAAGGCGCGTAGCTGGGTACCTTTTAGCTGAATAGCTAGATAACGAACCATAGAAATTTACAACACCGTATCGTTTCGTTATCATCCACACTCAGAAACAACTTTGCTAGAGCAAGTTACTATTTACTCAGATTGAGAAGCAACATAAGATTTCAATGGCAGTACGTAATATCATATAATTTGAAATTGTATTTTATTGCTTTTCGTTTCGTAGCAGATTATTTAATTAAAGATTTATTTGTGGAAAACTTTATTCGAGGATAATAGAAATAACTATAAGGATATACTAACATAGTAGCTTAAACCTAGGAGTAAAGCTGTCAAGGATATTGATAACACTTTAAAATCGTCCATAGCGTTTATTTTCTGATGTAGTATATTGTGTAACAAGAGTCTTTAATGGTAAAAATTATTAGTTAATACGTTTATTAATATTCCAATAGCCAAAATCTTCATTAAGCAAATAAAATTACAATAGACGGCGCTATGTTTGGAATACGTATACTTTAGTTGAAGTGATGGAATGCTTTCTTACGATGTATCAAGACATAAATTTGATATAAGAAATTTTTTTTAGTTTGATTCCGTTTACAAAAATTATCTAAAAATAAAATATTTATTAATACTGTACATAGCGATAACGAATAACAGTGAAAATTTAGGATTATAAAGGCCGCTGGTTGCAATTTTATTGCACGTAGGAGGATGATAATAAATTCACGAATGAAAAACACACGAAAGATAGATTGTTCGCAGAAGCAACATGAATAAGCTTATGGTGCAAATAAAAACAATTTTATAATTTGTTTTACCATCATACAATACGATCTTTCAGGACTGAATAAGATCCAAATAAATTATTTAAGACGTAAGTAATAAAAAAAGACGACGTTTTGTAAAGTAAACATATGTCAATACTACATAGCATGCATTATGATGAACATTGTGTTTATCCTATTTTTAAATTAACAGATTTTCGTTGTGTACTTGTGTCGTGTTTTCATGGAGACATCAAAGACGGTATGGCATAGTTTTACCTTAAGTAACAAAGTTGATGCTCGCTTGATCTGTCGTTACATGACAATTTTTATTAATCAGTGTCTCCTAAACATATCAACTATTAATCTTTATGATTCTAAAATTACTCCAGCCTAGAGTATTGTAATCGTCGTAGAATGTTACAACATGAATCAAGTACTGACGAACACTTCGAAGTAATCATAAATATATTCTCTAATAAAGTACCCGCATCGAAAATAATTGCATCAATTTCATTGATTCTCAGTAGAAAAGATATCGAGGTGAATGATATTCCAGCATAGAAATAGTGACGGAATAATTGCTTCTTAAATATTGTGATCTGGACTAACTAGGTTGCTTGGCGCCATGAACTATTCTATGGATAGATCGGAAGGAAAAAAAACATAGACTACCTTTCGTACCTTTGAATTTCACAAATGAAATGGCAAAAGTAGCAATAAATTAATGCTTTTGACGACCAAGTGTTACAACCAACATTAACTAGGTTTATAATTATTTACTTCGGGGAATTTTGAAATTTATTATCCACTATGCAATAAATATTTAAATTTAGAATCTGTAGCGTTACTTGCAAATCGGAAGAGGAAATGAAAATAAGTGCTTACTAGCGAACAAGCAATAAATGCTTTCAATATTACATCAGAAATGATGGTAAATCACATCATGCTAGATAAAAGGATTATAAATAAATAACCGGTATCAGTAGATAAAATTAAAGTAAGGCTATTAAAATATTGTAACTTTCAAGGCTTTTATATACCCACTATTATGATATTTGTGGTGAATTTGTTGCCCATTCCGCTGATGAAATTTTGCTTAGCTGACTCCTTTATCATCCTTTACGTAGGAAAATATGTTTATTTTATGGTACTACGTAGGAGAAAAAAAATTTATAGCCAATGTTCTTCGCTTTTTACATTTTATTTTCAGTTATTAATGTAGTTATAGCAAAAAAAGTTACGGCAAAATAAGAATGTGCATTTATTTACTGACTGATAGCAACTATGATGGCGTGAATTGATTAAAGTATGCATGTTACTTCTAAAATTGCTCTTTCAAAGGGTCGCAAAAATGCGACCGCTGACAAAAAAATCTACATATTGGAAAGATCTTGTTTTCTAATTAAAGTAAGGTACGCTTATTAAGAAATATCTGATTTAGGCCTAGTGCCTTGTCTCTGATATTGCGTCCATTATTAGATGAATATTTTGCAAAAAAACTTCTAAGCAAATGTTTTAAAATGTGGAGCTTAAACTATATTTATTATGCTAAAGTGATATCTAAAAATAATTATCTACTCAGACTTAAGAGTACGACGGAAAGAAGTTTCACTTCTGTCACCTTATTGCTACAGTATCTAAGACGAAATACATCATGCAAAAATTTGGTATCTAATATCATTTCGTTGGGTAAACATAGGAATAAAAGCATTATTAAACTAATAAACAATATCGTTATGCTAAAAATGTAGAACGACATCATACTTTAAGTTCTTGTTGTTACTAAAAACTTTAAGCAACATTAGCAACATTATCAACAAAGCCCAAGGAAATGACAATGCCCCTATTTTTGTTATTTGCAGAAATTTTATAATTAAGTAATCAATATTTTTTTAACCTATTTAGTCGACAACTTACATTTGGATTAGTCTCTAATGTGCTTTGTCGCTCTTTTCCTGTACGCTAAAGCTACGCATCTTACGTATTGTAATGCGGATGTAGTGGTACTGCGTCATCAATTAAGTTATTCTTAATTAGTGAAAAATGAATACTTTTAAAAATTCTAGTTAAAGTCATCTGTTGTATTTGATGTTTAATTTTATTAAACTCATTAGCTAATGCTTTGATGGTTAATCAACTGTATACTAAATAAGAATTATATAAAATTTCTTAGCATGGCGAATATACGGGCAATATTAGGGACTAGTAAAAGAAAGAAGAGAAGCCTCTTAGTTCACTTAGTGTATGGGTTCTTAACCTAATCAAGCTTACTTTAATAAGATGTACAGTTCTGTACTACACTCTATCACTGTATTACCTAACAGATAATTACTGTAGTTTACTAAATTCATAACATTCCCCCTTGTTCTTTAATAATTATTTTACGTAAGAAATTTTTCTTTCTTTAAGCATTACCGCTGTCCATTTGCGTAGTAGCGTATAGTAGTACAGTGGTGCATTTTTAGACGTGCTATTTTCATGCAAGCACGCATTATATGGTTATTATTCAATATGACAACTTATTCCTTCATTTAATAATCATAATCACAAATAGAGAAAATCGAATACCTGTAACCGATATTTTTCCGGTTTATGTGCAGTACCATCGAGTTACACAGTTCTCGCTGTAATATTTATTTAATAGTAAGTAAAGTAATAAGGAATTAGAAACTCAAAATGTAACGAGTAGGTTTTTTACTCGTTGTTAAAATAAGTAATTCTTGATTAGGAAATAAAGAATACTTTTGAATTGTCTAAACAAGTTCATATACTATTGTCACAAACTCCCGTGTGACAAGATGACGTTGTGATCGAATCTACGATATCGCAATAATTCGTACGCCTTCGATTTCCGTTATACTTTTAACCTTAGGAACTAAGAATAACTTTTATTAATTTGTCTAATCGTTTAAATAGATTTTATCTACAAGCTTTTACATACCTCTTAGAATACTACTAATCCAACTATAGATATAAATGACCTTTAACACATCACAATTTAAATCGTACCGTCTACAATCTATATCTGGTTACATAATCTCCTCGGCTTACAATATCATTGTAGCCGCAAAGCATGTACTATTTTTGTACGGTGAGTTAGCACTGTGACAACTATCTTCGATGTTAAATTTCGTTGTGCTTGTAGTAAATAGGCTGCGACGGTAGAATCTACTGTATGTAAAAGGAGGAATATCTACAATCTACATCTACATTGTGG